TTTCCCTTGCCTACTATTATAAAATGGACACTTGAGTGGGAGAGAAAGGAATGTTGGGAAACATAATTAGAGAAAACTTATAAGCCCATCTTCAGCCTATAACTGATTGGAATAGCTAAAAGGGATTCTAGACCTTGCCCAGTGAAATAGGCCTCGTGCAAAGCCTTTACAGAGAATAGGACCTTACATGAAATCCAGAACCTTATGAGGTGGGACATTCCCACTAGAAAGGACAAGCAGACCAGCCTGGAACAGCTACAGTGACAGAAGCTACATCTTCAAAGCAAGATCATCAGGAAAAACCCAAAACAAAAATGTCAGCATGACTGGCTACTACAAGAATAAGCAAGCTGTTCACCAGGAAGCCATCAAGGCTAGCAATTACGTTCCTTCAGGACAAACGCCCCTCTAAGACTGAAACTCAAAGGGAATATACAAACAAACATGTAAATTTGCTGGCGAGCACATTGGTCTACTGATGAATGGAAAAGGGGGAAAGACAGCAATGAAGAAATGGGCTGAGTTCAACCACAGTCCATTGACTCCCGTTGACCTGGAGATGAGATAGAAGAGGAAGGGCTGCTTGGTCCAAAATGTGGTGAGACCTGAGGACACTTGAGCCCATGGACCAAGGACATAGCCACAGAGGGCTAGAGCTGAGAATGAAGCATGCAGCTGATATGAACAAGAACACCCAAACTTGCAGACAGTACCTGTTTGACCTAGCCTTGATGGCGCAATAATGAGAACTGGACTAGAAGAAGATTGCAAAAAAAAAAAAAAAATTTTTTTTTTTTGATAAGGAAACAAAGGTAAATTGCTACAAATTGATGAACCTGACCTATACTCAGAGAGGTAGTTACTCTAAAAACCAACAGGAGTCTTCACATCAAGTATTAATGCTATCCCCTCTGTACACAGGGTAGATAGGGACGGGCAACTTAGACATTGGCTTCCTAAAATGAGTGGGCGATAAAGGCATGAAGTGACTGGCTTACAAGGTTTCAAGAGGGAGTTTAGTTTAAGAGTGTGGGGGCAAAGAAAGAGTCCCCACTGAATAGATGGGACAAGATAGATTTAATCTTGTTTAGAAGGAGCTCTGGTAGCGTAGTTGTTATAAATTGGGTTGCG